TGGTTACCCTTTGGGTACGGAACCCTAAAAAGCAGACTAGCTATGTGACTCATCATTACTTTATATTTTACCATTTGTGATTCGTATTGTAAGAATAACTTTTAAGAATTTATAGTAGACATACTTAAAATACCGCTGCCCGCGGTGCAATAAAACGACGAAACAGAACGCTGCCTGTTGCGCTCTCTGTACCGCGGGCAGCGAGTCCTTAACATTCGTATAGTGACCAAGGGGATGCAACGCGCATTCGTTTATTGTTAATAATTATTAACCAGCACCTTCATATGTTTAACACCAATGGATTATACTTTATCATTTAAAAATATAAGCATGCAAACTCCGTTAGACCAGGCGGTGTACATGATTTAATTTTTCACTGTTTGTAAATTTAGTATGAGCCGACTAAGTACTAAGAATCATGTTGTCTTGAACAAATGGCAGAATAGCCGCATCAGATAATTATACATCCCATCTAGAACTTAAAAGTTTTCAAACCGATGCATTCGACAAATTTTAGACTTCTGCAATTCGCCATGTGTAGCGATGGTAGCGATTACGGCAAAACAAAACGAAAAAAGCGTTTGAAAGTGAATAGTTTTTTTTTTATTACACACCAAACTAAAATATAATTTTTTCTTTTTTTTAAAACAATGGGGGGCCACTAGGGTTTTCTCCTGTATCCTGGAAGCAGTTTATTTATATACATAAATTACACAAGGACAAACATCCAGACCCGGGACAATTCCTTGTAGGCTATACAAATACTTGTTCCGTGCGGGATTCGAACCGGCGGCCTTTAATGCCGTAACTCATCGCTAAGCAACTGCGCCACGGAGTCGTCACTTTATATAAATCTTCTGTTGCTATGAGAAATCATTTACGCAATAACAACTACAAACAGGACAAGCAGGTATTACAAGGTCTTTATAAGAGAAGTGAAAAAAAAATTAATTATGTGTCTTCACTGAATGATTTTTAAAATAAAAAAGAATCTAGACAAGTTTTATGCAACATTATATAACAAAAGTAATTTTATTTTTCTCTTACTGGGGATGGGTCATGATAATGATTCATGACTAAACCTATTTCATTTATGTTTGTAAATAGCAGTGTTCATTAATTTTATTGTTTCATATTTTCGACAATATAAATGTATTTTGTGCACACAAAATCTAGTATACCTAAGCATAGTTTTCTGATGTATACTTGAACATTTTCTTCATAAACGTCATAATATGTGAATTTTACTTTTATTTAATATCACTGTTTAAACATAGTATATATTTTTTAAACATATTGTAATTTTTTGTGCATTTAGGTGGCTAAACAAAAAATCTTATATGCATATTTTTATCATAAATAAAACTGGTATAATTAACATAGTATTATTTCCGCATCTATCATGTATTGTTTCTATTGTCATTTTAGTCTTATATCACAATAATTGTATTATTTTTCATAAGCAAAATTACAATTCTCTTTTTTTGTACATGTTAACTTTTTGTAATGCTAACCTAAATTCGCAATGAGTCAATGATTCGAAAACGTAGACGCGGCGCAAAAGTATAATTGGTCTGTAGCATTTCTAGGGCATTGTCAATTGTCTGCTTTTCCTTCTCCAGAGTAATGCCACCATGGACCGAATTGAACAATGTTTGAAGACCTTTAAGTATAGATTTTCCACCCACTGTCAGAAGCTCCGTTGTAATTCCATTATCACCCGGGGACTTTGCCGTATTAAAATGCTAGAGAGCTATTCTAATATCACTCAGACTGATGTCTGCGATGTCATCAGAATTGAAAACTTAATCTTTGGATTGCTACTCACTATAGCATGTTACTTTAACTACAATGTTTACAGCTGTCCGTAGAATATCTTACTCAAAATATCGAGTATCCAGAACATAGTCAGTTTACAACTTAGACAGGTGGCTCTTTCCAATAGACAGATCTCTGGCAAAGACTATGGAACCTTGGTTTCAAGCAATCGCTTCTTCAATATAAGGTGTATTAAAGTTAAGTAAGTCTCGCCGCAAGCATTTGGAGATCTGTCTGTTCAGTTGCATGTTCACTGTCATATATGTTGAAGGCAGTTTAATTTCCCGTCTAACAGCTATAAGCTTAAGAGTGAATTCAGAGAGTTTCAAAGTTTCCACAAGCTTGTCATCTATATATATTTGAGTCGAGTTGCATATATCCAGTTGCTGAAGAGAGCAACCGAACTCCACTAATGATTCTTATTTTCACTTCTGCCATACTATGGTCACCTCCATAGACAGTAATATATTTCCTAAAAGTATTAACTTGGCAACCACAGTTATATTTTATGATTTAGTTATTATGAAAAAAATATCATGGCCTAAATCTTTGTATCAATTTCATAGATCGTAATTAATGGATTACTAAATTTTGAATAGGTCTAACAAGCCAAGAACTCTATTTGTAGTATTAACTTGTGATGATGGGATTTGTACATGATATATAGCTGCACTAAAAGTTTTGTAAGAGAGAATTGTAAGTGGTTCAGTAGACCATCTTGCTCCTGTGTATGTGGGGAGACACAACTCAGTGTACATATATAATAAATATAATGTTGTTAAAAAATTCCAATAAAGGTATAGGGCAATTATTATAGTTATAATCAAAATCAGTGTTGATGATTTCAAAAAAAGTTTTTGAACAAGTCTTTTGAAAATATTCTTATTAGGAGCTTTCCTGATATTATCCAGATAAGAGTTACAGAGAAATGCAGCCTTAACAGTAAAGGAGCTGTCGATAAAATCTGTGATTAGGTTAAGAACAAAGAACTCTGTCATGACATGAGGATAAGTATCTGGGGGCACAGTAGTGCCCCCGCCAAGTCGAGCAAAAAGCGGCACGGCCATACCATCCTTTTCTCGAAGCAGTTCAGGCCATTTTTGACCCCCTATAACTTCGTTGTGGATAAAACCAGAAGCCTGAATTTTTAGTAACCAAACATGCATTGTATGAACATGGTATATTTCAAATTTTATTCAATTTCAACCAGTAGTTTAAGAATTATAATTAGTCAAAATTTCTTAATTTTGTCACTCACTGACTGACCGATCATCAAAACTCTAAGGCACTTCTAGCAGATGTAGAAGCTTCAAATTTAGAATACAATTAATGTTTAGTGTACAAATCAAGGTAAAACTAAAATATTTTGTAGTTTCGGTCCAATTTTGTAGATACACTAACTGCGTAAATAACTTTGTAATCCTATATAAATATATAGAATTACAAAGTTACATTTGCAGGGAATGAATCACTGTACCTGTATATGCATAATATAATGAAATAATAGATGTATATAGATACCTAGATATAATTATGTTCAAAGGTAACTTGTAAAATGGTCAACGGAATGAAAAAGCAAGAATGGGACATTTCTTATGAAGTTGTACCAAAATCCCACAAAGTATTATGTAGACTGAATTGCCCGAAAGTCCGTAGTTGGTATTCAAGAAGTAGATGGTACCGGAAAGCGAACAAAGTAGGACTATCTACAAAAAGAAATGAAATGCAATCAAAAACATAACTTGTAAAAAAACCAAGTCTCGTAACTCAGTTGTTCTAATGTAAAAAGTTGTGAGATCCATATAATACCAAGTCAGTTCATTTATTCAGTCTGTACTTAAGGGTCCTTCTGTCTCAAGTTATTACATAAGTAGCTAACCTAACAACATCTTATAGTGACCATATCAATATTAAAAATCTTTTATGATTTAAATACATAGATTGACTTCAATCATCAATCAATGCAATCGCACTAAACAATCTAACTTAATATAATATGTATTACTTGTGAGATATATAGTGTTTTCATGCGATTGCCAAGTCAATCTATTGATTAGATGTATTTTTGGGTTTTAATTATGTTGCGCTGAAGCCTAATTTTTTTCTTATAAGTAGCCTAAGTTACTCCTTATAACATCAGCTATCTGCCAGTGAAAGTCCTGTCGAAATCGGTCCAGCCGTTTTGGAGATTAGCCAGAACAAACAGACAGACAGACAAAAATTTTAAAAATTGTGTTTTTGTTATAAGTACCATATATACTTTCATATGCATTTAATAAAAAGCTATTATTTTGAGATTACAAACAGACACTTCAATTTTATTTATTTGTATAAATTTAAAAATTGCATTATGTAAATTGTCGATATCTGGCTATAAGTTAATTTGTAGATCATCTCCATACAGGTGATACAAGAATTGATAGTTTTTCTTAGCACTTCTTGACAAAAAAGCCCAATAATTGATTTTGGCCAAACTCGGTACCACTAATAAAAAAAAATAAGACAGTAACATACATCCATACAATGATATCCACGTGTGTTAATAATAACTTTGTTCTCAGGAGACCATGAGTAAGCTTCAGTCCACCTGATGTCAAGTGGATACTGAAGGAGTGGATACTGTTTATAGCCAATAAGTATTAAAACCCATAATAATTAAAATGTAAGGCGTGTTAATTCAGTCTTTACCAATACTGGCTCTATTTATCACTAAAATCAGAGAATAAAGCTTTACGAGGTAAAGCATTGCACTGTTGTACAGTATTATCTAATATAGTTATACACATAATGCTATAAATTAACAAAAATTATCAAGCTAAGACTAGATGACAGCAATAATATCTGTATTACATTTATCTGATAAGATACACATAGTTTAAACTTTTTGATAGGGAACTAATTATACAATAACTGTTTATCAACTACATACCAATTTCCGAACTTTAATCCCTAGCATCCATTCATTGCTTTCAAAATTAATAAAACACGATTATAGAAATCAAATATATTTCTTAAGGCATTACTAGCATACTATGTCATTAAGGACATGAATACGAAGAATTTAAGGCTAACACATAAAAGAAAAGGGTTGGCGTTCTTAACATTAAAAAAAATAATGGTTGAAACTTGTAATGGATAAATTAAAGCTTTTATTCTAAAAAAAAATAATGAATAAAACTTACCTCTTCAACTGTTAGAGGAAGAGTAACTCGACTGTAAGAAAAATAATTCGTTTTAATATTAAAATAGATCTAGAGATTTTTTTTAAATTGATGAATACTATCATCTACCTTGAATTGCTGTCATTGTCTGACTTATTCTTTTTCGATATTATTGGGTAAGGGCATTATTAGTTAATATAATAAATAACAAGATACAGTTAAAATTATTATAATACACTATTTCAAACTAACTCATGCAAAAAATTCGGTGACTTCTGAAAAATCGATTCTTACTCTGAATTAAGACAGAAAATAACCTTTACTTACTATTCTTTAATAAGCATATTGACTATGTGTTTTTCACTTAAATGCACATTAGGTAATTCACTACAACTGTATTAAGTTCTTATCACAATACAACACTTGAGCGCCAGCCCGAATAACCGAATATTGAAATTTTAAAATCTTTAGTCAGAGTCAGACAATGACTGAAAATGACAGGGCGCATGCCTCACTTCATGATCATGATGCAACGGATATTACGTCAACAATAATTGCAGCGTTCTTTTAAGCTCTTAGTAGCGTTCTAGATAAGAAAATAACTTTTTTTTATTCTATATTGAGTAAAAAATATTCTATTCTAATATTTTATAATATACAATATTAAAAACTATAATAAAAAAACTAAAACTAGTAACTTAATTATCATACAGTCCTACTCCCGCGGTATCGTGCCAAGAACGCTGGCTGCGTTTCCCCGCTGAATGGCTATACTTAGCCTTTGAGTGAGAAAAGAACCAGCCCTCTTATCACCGGCAGCAACGATCAGCCGCGAATGGAGTTCCTTTAGGAATTTCACCGCACGGACTGATAGTCTCAACAGCAAATGGCACAAATATGTAATCGTCTCTCAGAGACTCATATTTGCGCCACTTACTCAGTTCTTTATTCTAAAGATGATTTTAATCAGTAAATAATGTCTATAATAGTAATTAATAGTAGTAATATTAATAATTAATATATAGATAGATATTCCGTTTCCGCTTATCCACCCTAAGAAATCCACCTTAGGGTGGATAGTCGGAAACGCGTCTTCGTTTATCCACCCCAGACGAGGTGGATAATCGGAGTACGTATATGATTTTCTTCTGATTTCAATTAATTTGCGTTCTAAAAACGTAATTTTATTTTGCCGTTTGTCAAACAGATGGATACAATAAAAAATGGATATAGTTAGTTGGACGGGTTGGTTAGAACTCAAAGAAGAACTTTACAATTTGCAGCAAACATTTTCTTGAGAAATATAAAAGAAAAAGTAGAATAAAAACAATTTTACTAAAAGGAGCCATTCCTACATTATTTGTACCAGTAAGTATAGTATTGTTACAGAAAGACTTCAAAAATTTAACTTCAAAAACTTTAAGTAAAAATAGAGATAGATTTTTTATACATTATAAAACTGCAGTATATTATAAAAAATCTTGAGATTATCCTATTTAAGCAATTATGAACCCAACTGAGTATCTATATATCAACCAAAAACATGTTCCTTACTTAACCATCCGCATCTCACGGTCACATTAGTACAATATCTACTATAGCATCATGCTATTTTTCACAAAGTGTTCAGCGGAGCTTCGGATTATATTCCCAAGTTACAATGATAAAACTTTAGTGTAGTTTACATATTTAGTAATGCTCCTGAAGTGCCGTTAGATGCCCGCGTATGAGACGCGCGGTTCAGTTTGCCAGGATAGTATAAATTCCATAGTATTTTATATTCACAACGCCTGATGCCCAATTTATGCTTAATGCCCAACGACAGTGTGCCGAAGGCTTGATAGCGTGGTTCATCGCCTACAGCGTTAGGCGTAGAGAACAGGAACTCGTGATTAACTAACAGCTGCGCGGATCAATATTCCAACCCCTTCGAGTCAGACGCTGAATTACAGTCGACTTCGCAAAAGAAGAAAGCGGTTAAGAAACAAACTAATGTATTAAAGACTAAAACAACAGTTCCTAAGTCCAAGAAACGAGTTGAATTATTCGGAAGCGAGTCGAAATCTGAGGCTGATACATCATCATCACTCACGTAACGAAATTAAAAGTTTTTCCAGATTCTGAGGTAAGCAAATCTTATTTGATTTTAATAGTTTGAGTTGCCATTCACATGATGTAAATTTAGTTTCTATTTGATAGGATGTTGTGAATAAATTATCAGTCATAGGTTAATTTTTTTATGAAAACGTATTTAATTATATTCTTAGACGATCGATGTAATTGATACAATTGTTAGTGAATTGGACTAAGTCATATTATGAGCATCGTATAAAATATATTTATGCGGGGTAGGAGGAAATATAAATATTGTTCATTGCTTTTCAGTATGCTTTTGTTTAAATAGTATTTTTTATTGTTTCCAGGATGAAGATTCCGAACCTATCCGAGCGGGGATTTTAAAAAGCTACTTATCATGCCGAACAGGGTCGGGATATATGCACCGGAGCGAGCCTTCGAAGCGAGGTGAATATTACATCGAAGTGCGCATCTCTAACTTCCGCGAGCTGGAGGCTATTCCATCAATCAACCGCTGGCAGCACTCTCTGATCAGCTTTAAATCAGTCGTCGATGAGAAAACCCCAACGTGGAAGGCTGTTACCCAGTTGGTATCATGCATCAAAGAAGATTATCACAACGTTCGTCCAGTTTTGTATCCAACTAAAGGTTAGAAACTGATCTATATTTTAGTGTAGTAATATAATAAGTGTTTTATCCATTTATTTTTAGAAATGTTTGGTACCCGGCTTAGAATTTTATACTATTCGTAATATCTCTAGATAGAATATAGTCTGGAATAACATCCAAGCGTTTGTTGTAAAAGCATATATATTGCCTACCCATAAATTAATTACCAATTCTATAAAGTCTAAAAACTGGTATTACAAGCTTATGTTTGTTCCTAGTGTTTAAAAATGAACATATTTTTATCTTATGAAAGCTATTTATGTTTTTATTATTATATACATTACATTTTCATAAATATATTTCGATGCTAAGTTAATATGTTTATTTCCTTAAAATATGTCTCTAAGGGACTCTTTCTTTTAATAACATAAACATAAAATCAAAATAAAGCTATAAAATTAAAATTCAAAATCTAACAACCAAAAAAGAAAAAAAAATTTTTGTAATAATAAACTGATCTGTATTCATAAAAATAATTATTATTATTTAAAAAAATATTTTTCTGTAAGCCCTGCGGTGTTGATGTTAAACATTATTCCGCTCATCAAAAGTCCTATATTCACAAGTTCAACTGCTTACTGCAAACCGAGTTTGATAATGTAAATATAATAGCATGTGCTTTCAAGAACAGAATTGTCACTTACAGAATTAGTCCTGAAAAATTAACTGTTTCACCTGAAATTTTCTTATCTTATATTTAACACACATCTCTTCAACTAATTAAATAAGTGTTGAAGAAACATACGGCATTAAAAATTAATTTTGAACTGTTTGTTACATATATTTTACCCAAGAATAATGAAGCATCTATTAAATCTTTTAATACTAAATATGAAATTATATACCAAAACACTGATCTATCGTCTGTTTACAATAGTTTTGCAGAAAAAATAACGAACAAGTGTTCAGAATTCGAGCTTTGCGAATCAGGTTGGATTATTGAGGCCATAAGATACTTAAAATTAAATATTGTAAAATATAATCCGTTAAGATTTAGTTCGTATATACCATTACCTGAAAAAATACGTAATACAAAATCATGCTTAAATTAAAAAAACAATGATAAACACTGCTTTCTTTGGAGTAATTTAGCTCATTTGTATCCAACTACAAATAATCCTAACAGAGTGAATTCATACCCTCATTACTCAGAAGTTTTAAAAACAGATAATTTGTTATTTCCTCTAAGTTTTAATGATATTAAATTATTCGAGGAAATGAATCCTAACGTGAGCGTTAACATTTACGGTTTAGATAAAAAAATAATGTGACCGGACCGCTGTATAAAGCTTTAAAAAGAAAGATAATGCATGTTAACTTTAGTTAAATAAAAATAATAAACATCATTTTTGTGTGATAAAAAGGTTTGATAAACTCGTACACAAGCAAGCAGCATAAATCTAAAATACATTTATGTGAAGAATGTTTTTTATATTTTAACACTGCAGAAAAAACTTTATTTTTCAAACTATGAAAAGACTCAAAGAATTCCTATTGTAATAAATACGGCGACTTTGAGAGTTTATTACATGAGTATTCAGACAAAGATAAAACTACGTATGTGGAAAATATTCAAATCCATGAGGCCAGTTGTTTTGCATATTATATATTTTGTGATTCTAAGCCCGAACTCAATAAATTCGTTTCCTATCGAGGGTCAGAGTGTGTGAAAACATTTATTGAATCAATTAGTAAAGATGATAAACGGTTACATAAATTACTTTCAACTAATACGCCTCTGGTTATCGGTGAAACGGGGCGGGACTATTTGAATAATGTAAAGGAATGTCATTTGTGTAAAAAAATATTTAGTAATACAGATATCATAGTTGTAGGTCATGATCACTTTACTGGAAAATACAGAGGACCTGCTCATAACGAATGTAATTTAAAAGCTAAGACATCTCACAGAAAACCAGCGTCAAATAGCAGCTTAACGCTGCTGTGTTTCGCTTGGTGAGTGTAGAGAACCGGAGACCCTTTTTACTGGCAAAGAGGCATTCCATCTTAGTCCACACGGGTGACAACGAATCTGCATCTTGAGTCTTTATTGAGGATAGATGTAGATGTCTATGGGTCACGGTAACCACTTACCATCAGGTGGACTGTATGCTCGTTTGTCACCCTATCCTATAAAAAAAAATGCTCATTCATACCTTTAATATTTCACAACCTTTCTGGTTATGATTGTCATTTATTTAAAGAGGAACTTTCCGCCATTTGCGGTTGTATAAATCTAATACCCGAAATAAAGAAAACTTTATTTCATTTACTAAGTTTATTCCAATAGAAAATAATAATAATAATAAGAACTCAGCTCAGTTGAAATTTATTGACTCTTTCAACTTTTTGAACTTGAGCTTAGATAATTTAGTGAAAACGATGGAAGCGATAGATTTTAAAAATTTATGCAAGTTTTTTGAAGATAAACATTTATTTAATTTAGTTCGAAAGAAAGGTATCTACTGTTATGGTTATATAGATTCATGGGATCGGTATGAAGAAAATCAATTACCAGAGCAATCGAAATTTTTCAATCACCTTACATCTCAATCTGTTTCAGATGAAGATTACAGTCATGCATTGAAGGTATGGAATGATTTTAAAATCCGTAACTTAGGTGAATACACCGATTTATATTTAAAATTACAGTATTACTGTTGTGTGATGTTTTTGAAAAATTCCGAGCTATGAGTTTAAAACATTATAGTCTTGACCCATGTTACTATGTCTCATCCCCATCATTAAGTTGGGATGCTATGTTGTTTCATACGAACATACAATTAGATTTACTTTCAGATATTGAAATATATCAATTTTTAGAGAAAGGAATTCGCGGTGGTCTTGCTCAATGTTCTCTAAGACATGCAAAAGCAAACAATAAATACATGTCCTATTATGACAGCAAGGATAAAAACAATTTTTTAATTTATCTTGATTGTGTAAATTTATATGGTTTTGCTATGATGCAAAAGTTATCAACGGGGAACTTTAAATTCCTAAGTGAAAAAGAAATTAATCAATTTGATGTAATGAGTGTTCCTGATGATAGTGATATTGGGTATATTCTTGAAGTAGACTTGCACTATCCAATTGAAATACATGATGATCATTCAGATTTACCATTTGCAGCAGAAAAGTTTGCTCCGCCAGGAAGCAAACATAAAAAATTAATAGCTAGTTTGTACCATAAATGTAAATATGTTATTCATTATGAGTATTTAAAGGAATGTTTACGTCATGGACTCATTCTGCTCAAAGTTTATAGGATATTGTTATTTAGTCAAAATGCATTTTTAGCACCATATATTTTATTAAATACACACTAAGACAAAATGCTACTTCAGACTTTGAAAGAGATTTTTTTAAAAAAACAAAATAATTCTATTTTTGGAAAGACAATAGAGAATAAACGAAAACAAGTCGATGTAAAATTAGTTAATGTATGGAAAGATACATCCAATAAGACTAATAAACTATGTGGAGCTGAAAAATATGTAAGTACTCTTAATTTTAAAAATTTGTCAATTATTTCAGATTCGTTAGTAGCAATCCAGTTAGAACTAACAAAAGTTATCCTTGATCGCCCAATTTACATTGGGTTTTCAATTCTGGATTTGAGTCATTTATATCATTTTCATTACTCTATAATGAAACGCATGTATAAAAATTCACTGCAACTTTGTTATACTGATACTGATAGTCTGCTGTATCTAATAAATACAAATGATTTTTATGAAGACATGAAAAAAAATATATAATATTTTGATACAAGTAATTTCAAAAACAATCAGTATGATATGCCCAAAGTAAATTGTAAAATTCCAGGGTTTTTCAAAGACGAAATGGATGATGATATAATAGCTGAATTTGTTGGATCAAGAGCAAAATTATATTGTATTGATTCTAAAACAACCTCAATAAGAAAAGCTAAGGGTATTATAAAAGCTGTTACTAAAAATCTTAATATTGAAAAATATAAACGAGCGTTATGGTCTAATGAAAACTTTAGAAAGAGTATGTATATAATTAGATCAAAGAATCATCAAATATTTACTCAAAAAGTTGATAAACTTGTACTTAATAGAGATGATGATAAAAGACAAATTATGGCAGATGGCTACAATACGAGTACGTTACCGTGGGGACACTATAAAATTATAAATTTGAATGTAAAACTACGTAATGCTACTACTATGTACTGTATAAGTAAGTAAGAGATAAATATATAGCTTAAGTTACATGTATTATCATGTTTATAACTTGATATTAATTTAAAATAAATAAATATTTAGTTTTAATAAATACATTCGTTGTAACAATAAATGTCTTTTTCTTTTTCCTCTACACAATTGAATAATAATGATACATAATAAAACAACAATAAAATACAATATATAACTTTTATTATATTTTACAAGCTACATTAATGAAATTACTAGTTCCCACATAACTTTTCACCTATTTTTTTTATAAGACAATTTGTAGCATCTAACACTTCATCATACATTGAATCCACAATATATTGAACACTTATATTAGCACTAAGATCGTGGATGACATTTTCTTCTTGCTCGTTAAGTTCGCAAATGCTGATTTTAATCAAACGATGACCTTGTTTATCTTTATCTCAGCGGATAATGTATGATGATGATGATGATGATGATTCTTGAGAACGGTTTCTCTTCCTGTAACATCTCTTTGATTTCGATTGCCGCTCTTCATTAATAGCTATTCTATTTGGTGGTAAATCGTAAAGCTGCTCCTTTCGGTTGTAATAATGTAGTGTAAATTTATCCACACCCTGTGCATAGTAATACGGATTAGTGATAGGATTAGAATCATTGTGTTCCAGTGTTGCCCATGATCTGCAATTAACAAAAACAAGTATGAAATCAAAAAAAAGGTAATGGCGGCTGAATTTCTAAATAGTAAAAAAATAATTAAACTCACCAATATAGATGATATTTGCAGAGCGTTGTAATCAACGTGCACTCGCTATGAGAATAAAACAATAATGAAACAATTGAGGGAAGGCGGGAGGCACTCTTCAATCCAGGTAAGACACATCATTGTATTTAGTTAGCGGATGGTTGCAAATTAATTAATATCTTTATTGTAATGGATTGACGGTGTTAGGTTTTCGGGTCTTAGGTTTTTTTTTTCGTTACGGAATTTCTTGATTCGGTCGCCGCGCTCAAAGCCCTCGATAAAAGCTATGCAATAGCTTAAAAACGTTTATTAGCACTAACCACAATGAAATTAGGCTAAACAAGTTGTATTATTAGAAATTAATCATATAGATGCGGCAATACCATCAGTATCTCGCAAACGCTCTGAATATAATGCTCAATAACTCAACTGTAAGTGGAAGTACGCTTGTTCCCGCAGGATAGAACTGTGAGTATGTAGACGTTAATTTGGTTAAACTAAAAATGTTGTGCCTCTCTGGAGAGAATTGGGGTCTTCAGTGGCATGGCTCAAGCGAATACGAGAGCAAGTGACGCAGAAGCCCCAATTCACACCTACTTGTAGTGGTAGTAATAACTATAGTTTTAAATTTTTGTGATTACTCAGTCAAAATGTGATTTAGTAGTATTATTAAGTTTGATAGAATTTATGTTATGTTCTTGAACTATAACTAAATTTTGTCGTAAACTTTATACAATAAAAATAAATATAAATAAAAATTCATTAATAAATCCTATCAACGCTTAAATTTGATAGAATTTTAAGTAAAAGAAGAATATACGAATAAGGTAGTAATCGTGTTGGCAGCTACTTCAACACGAACTATTAAACACACTTTTTTTCTCAAATTACGCGCCACACCTGGTGGAGACAACCATAGAGAAAACGAAAAAAATCAGCTTTGAATTTCTTATTGTTGTAATACTTGATTTGCCTTGACAGGCGTGTCAGGGCAAATCAAGTATTTGTAAATTAACAACGCTTTGTTTAACTGATTAATGCATAATAAACATAGCCGGTAGTTACTTCGGTCGAGAGTGGTCACTTCCACAGACTAACTAGTAGATTCTAACCGAATCAAACAGACATCTCACGAACTAAACTTACTCGACTTAGCTTCTGCGTCCTGATTGGTTGTAGCAAAACGATATATGACATTTCTTTTTTTTATTTGATGCAGCTATACCATATATAAATTAATTTTATTATATTGAAAATAAAACGAGGTAAATACAAATGAAACAATGTTGAAATTTACCATTTTTTTATTAATCAAATAAAAAATAAAATTATTAAAAAATTATTGTAAAGTAAATATTAATATATTTACTTTACAATAATTTTGTTTACAAATTTAGTAATTAACTTACAGTCCCTGGCCAAATTATTAGACGCACTGTAGTTTTTTAATAATTATATGTTGTACACGAGTTTATATGGCATACTTTTATATTTAAATATACATTTAATGTGTTTTCATTCAGGAGATGTTTTATATATTCCCTATTTGAATTTATTTTAAATGTATTGCATTAAAACATTAAAATGATAACCAAATGACACACGAACGTAAACAAGAACAAATCCGTTTCAATAGCGTTCTCGCGTGCTTTAGTTGTGGACGTGTTTCTGTGGCTTTATGCGCTGTATTTATTTGTTTAGCAGTTTTATACTACGCAGTTGTTTGTTTACTTAGTGTACAGTGTTTAAATAATCAATTGGAACATTTTAATCATGGGTAAAAAAGGCGATCTTTCATCTCGTAAAAAAAGCTGAAGTAAGGGCCCTCGTAAATGCTAAATTGTTATTCTAACCACGAAATATCACGGAGATTGCAGGTTTCTGAAGCTAGCGTACGACGCATAAACAAGAAAATTGAGTCACGAGACGAATTGAGCCCGAAACAAAAGAAATGATGCGGCAGAAAGCCTATTTTTACTCCAAAGACAGAAAGATGTTGTTAGAAAAGTTTGCCTGGAAAACAGATTTGCAAGCACAAAACTGATAAAATTGCAACTCCAAGATGCTAATGGGGATGTTTTTGAGCGCACTATTCAAACAAAATTAAAAGATTTAGATTTTACGACCTGCCGCCCCGCCAGGAAGCTCAAGTTAACAGCAGCAAAGAAAACAAAGCATCTGAAGTGGGCCAAACAGTGGCGTGATAATGGTGAGGACTTCTGGAGATCGGTAAGTTAGTATAATTTCATCACAAATGATACATTTAATATCATTTTCTATGAAATAAAGAAAAACCAGCACAGATGTTTAGGATGTTTATTAATTTTTACTATTCTTAACAGGTCTGCTTCTGCGATG